CCCTCCACCGTAAAACATTTATAACCAAGAGATAATTCCAATAAATCACCCGCTATGACGCATCAACTATCTAGTTGAAATTGATTGGTAAATTCGATGGATTAAGAACGTTAATAAATAAAAAAAAACAATGGGGACGACAGCTCTATTGAAAAGTGATTCATGTGCGTTACGATATACTGATAGCGGCCAACCTGATAAGACAAAATACAACGATCTTCCTAGAGGGAGCTGTGGGACACATCATCAATGACCAAATAGAAATCCTGCTATAGAACGCTACTCAGAAATATTTAGCTATTAAAGTTCATACGAATGATGCCAGATTTATCTGGTAACTAATCGCTTTTCCAAAAATACACACTTTGCTATCAATATACGTATTCCGTACTACACATCTGTTTCCTTTATAGCTGGGCTATAGCTTAGCTTGTTCTGGGAGTCTAGCTAGATGTTGGAGAATCTGCCATAGAGATTTCTGAGTCAGTCAGGCTTCACTAGCGTAGCAATCCGCTACAGAGCCCATACACGCCATGCAGTGACTTATATCAATTACGTTTGAGCATTTTTGGTTATCACTTTCAAGCCACTTGCGCATTGTCTTACACTTAAAAGTAATGTTAATAAGTTTTTAATGCCACGCTCCAAAGCCGATCCACGAAATACGTATGGAATTAGGTTACATTATTAGTATTTCCCGCTAGTAAGGAGGCACATATCAAAGTTTCCAATAAGTAAAACCCCAAACCGAAACAGAGCACGCAGTTACATCACACAATGCCATCAAAATTCCATTTCGAGTTAGACCTGACAACGCTATTAGAACACACCCCAATATCACTTGAAGAAAAAATGATCAAATTAAAAATACTGCTACTCATGAGGTTATAATTATGTACACCAATATGAGATAAGATAACGAATTACATTACTTTGAACATAGTAAGATAGCATATAAATAGTAAAAGACAAAACTCGTCGATAGAAAATAATAAGTCATTTACATACATGGACAATCATTAAAGCATGCCTAAAAAGTATAACTATATCGTACAGGTTTCCAATTGAGCAATTAGAGCTTCGATTTCTGCTTTACGAGCCATTTTTGCCTTCTGATCAGGATTCAAAGCTTGACCAGCTGCTGCCTTCTCCATCAATTCATGAATTTGACGAAGTCTCTTCCGTTCAACTTTAAGCTGGTGCTGTATTTCGGCTTCGGCATCTCTTGTCACGCCCTCACCACTTTCAACAGGCTTTTTAATATCGGCCTTGGGATTCACGGCCACAGTAGGCGTTTTTTTAGCAGGCTCACTAGCCTTATTCTGAGATTTTGTTTGATTCTTCGTTTCTAAATCGTAATTTAAAGAGTGGATAGATAATTTATACGGACTTCAAATCGTAAAGATAATACAATACCAGATTTATGCGTCGGGTTCCCCTTCGATTTCTTCTTTTTTGAAGCGATTTGCTGAGAAGCATTTACAAGGAGACCCACGGAACCAGCTTTCTTTCGCTGGTTTGTAATTGCTTCAGCGTCTTCTTTAGATAGACCAGGGATTACGTACATTTCCTTCTTTCTATTCATTTCTTCTACAGCTTTAGGCTTATAACTATGATAAACAAGATAGTTATTATAGTAAATGATTTAACTTAAAATTGAGTATCTTAAGACAAATGAAGCTTACGTTGGCATTTCATCTTGAGGAATATATCCTGCTCTGACTTTTATCTCCTTTCGCCAAGTGCCATCAGGGCGACGGCTGGCAGGAATAACATGTTCGCCTTTAAAGATAAAGTTAATACAAAATGCAAACCTTTCTCGTTAACAACCACGCCCGTTCGAGATGACCGCATTTCTAGCCCGTTTTAAGCAGACTCTTAAACATATAGTTGTGTCACTGCTCTGATCAATAAAAAGATTCCAAGTTTTCTTGCTTTACACAATATCATATAAATTTTTATCATTTAATAATTTTCAAAACTTTCATGTCCATTTTTTATATAAAATTTTGAAATCTTAAAATTTATTGGTTTAAAACTAACATTTGCTTTATTCTTCAACATACTAAAATGATATAATTTTATGTTTAAACCGATAAAGTAAAATGATAAAGTGGTTTAAAATTTTCTATAATTAATCCCAAGTTAAACAGATATACAGTAAATCTGCATGATATTCCCTAACCTCATTCAACGCTTGCATACATTAATACATACATACATACTTTTATATATATGCTTATGAAATTTATTTAAAATTGATAAACTTGATTAAGTTTAGTGACCAATTAATAGGGAATGATTTTAAAATTTCCTTTCAATGAATTATTGTTTATGTAGCAAGTATAAGCTATATAAATAAGTATATATTTTGGTAAAAATTGAAATGAAATGGAAACGAGCAATAGCAGAGTTCAATTAAATCGAAAAATAAGATTTACTGATTAGTTTCCAGTTATTTATTTTAGGAGTTCAATACATTTTGAGAAATATCTCACAAGTAAATTTCGAACGTTTTAATGATATAATAATTTCTGTTAGATCGCTAGATATAGAATATTTGAAAAAAATACTTGCTTCAGCATTCTAGTATCAATACCGAATTTCAAATCAGTCTGCCGTATGTTTCGACTTTGCGGAAATTAGCTATTTAATAGCTAACAAATCAATAAATATTTTTTGGCCTTCATAAGAACGTCAGTATCACAATAACAACAACGGGAATTCGTTTTACTTCAGAAATTTCTTGCGATACTCTGTACTCTTATATATGAATAGAATAATTGAGCAATCTAACATTAGTTTAGATGAACATTTAAAATTTTATCTTCACACTCTTGCTGTCAAAGTCAACATTCTCCGCCTCAACATTAAGGCTTCTTATTTGAAAAAATATGGTAATAGAAAATAATTAAGTTGGGTGGAATTTCAACATAGGCATGCAATTTAGTTTAAAATTTTCTTCTAAAAAATCATATGGTAATAAAAGAGAATCTTTAGCGATAAATTAAAATAATAAATGCACTCGGTAAATTCTATTTTGAAGCGAAAGGGCTAAGTGTTTACTAAACAGAAAATTGTTAATGAACTCTACAAAATTCCTTTCTTGTGTTTTATTGAATCAATAAAAGGTTCAATCAGATTTCATAGATTACCCTCTCGAATGCGGACGTAATGAAATCAACGATTTAAGGTGGATTATATTTCTCACTGGATATCTTCAAACACTATTGAAAAATAAAATAGTAAGTTACCTTTAACTGCTAAAATTAATGTTTTTACACATTTTTTACTTATTTTTTTATTTAAAACATGGTCCTTTTTGGTATCGAGATGTCTGATATTGATTTACTATTTAAATTTAAAAAAATTATTTGGAAGTGACGTTTAAGTATTGTGCTTATTGAATTAATCGTATTCCGTATTAAAGATGAACTCTCCTTTTCAATCAAACCATCTGGAATACTTTTCATTTTATATACATTTCTACAATTTTATTCATAAATGATAGTTTCTTTTGACTTAATGAAAATTTGTGTCCAGACATGCAGAATTATGGTCACCAGACTGGTTACGTTGCTCATCATCCACATGAGACTTATTCCACCGAAGACGAAGGAGAGGATGGCGAAGAAACTAATGCCACGGCAACTAGATGGCCTGGTGGAGTTGATCACGGTCCTCATCATCATACTACAATTCCTCGAATCGAACTCCCTCAAAATTCGACGCCACCTTCAGAACCTAGCTCACCTCCCCCGGCTCAAAATTCCGCTCAATCCGCCTCAGATGCAGCTGCCGTTAGTTCACTTGGTGCTTCAATTCGTGCGGGTGGTGGTCCAACGCTTAGTGGAATTGCTGGCATTGCAGCCGCTGCTGCGACGCAACAAGGCAAACCACTAAACCTCACAAATCTCGCCTTGGTAGCACAGACCAATGCTCGAAAGCGACCTGCTTCAAGAGCACAGGCTGCTGGTGCCAGACCTCAAAGAGCCCTTTTTTGCCTCAGTCTACGAAATCCCATTCGTAAAATGTGCATAGGAATTGTCGAGTGGAAGTATCCTTTTAATAAACTATCTACCACTTGTATTAAAATTTAAATAATATTCAAATAATATTAAATAATATTTATTTAATAATATTTAGAGAGTCATAAACTTACTGCGCAAATAGTTATTACTGTATTACCCTATTTTTTCGATTGATATATTTTTTATTGGAATTGAAGAAAATGAAAATAGGAATCAATGAAAGTTTACGTTGATTTCCATTTCAAAACTTTTGCATTTTGTTTTGTTGTATCCTATGGAATGAAGTGAAACAATGTAATGCCATTAATGCGATTTTCTGTAGCATTTGCTTTTATTAACTTGTCTGTATTATTTTCCTTAATCGGTTTTATAAAGACCTTTCGAATATCTTATCCTGATTACAATTTTGGGAAATTGTTTTGCTCTTGGATCTCACACCCCATATCCAGATGCGGATTCTAACGGAACAAATTCTATTTTGGCAAGTTTAATAACCGCTTATTGTTTAAATTAATTTCTCTTATTAACCTGCAAGGGTATAGAATACAATGTATGCATTTGATCTCATTAAAAGACGCCTTTTATAGTCACATCTCATCAGATTTCCTTTTATTCTCTTTTCCGCCAATTTATCACATTCCTTTATTCAATACGAAATTTGCCTTAACCGACCTTCATAACCAAACGAAATGGTTAGAATTTACTAACTCGAGTTTTCTGCTTATATCTTAACGTCTCTTAATAATTACTTCCACACAAGGGAAAGGCGAATAGATTTTTGGCTTGTTGTATGAAAATTAGGGCAACAATGCTATGCGATAAAATTTGATTAATAAAATAGTTAATAGCCGCACTTATTTTACTTATGGAATTTCGAATTAGCCCTATTCTTACAAGGAGTATAGTTAACTTCGTTGTGGGGGGGGGAGGTTATGTTCAAAATTTAAAAAATCTGTTGATCTTGATTTATTTGAATCCTCGCAGACAAAACAAAGGGATTTATACAAACCAAGGAACACCAAAATTCAATGGAGGCAAACTCTCAAAGAACTGCTCGAATAAGAGAGGGGAGAGTGAGGTGTGGAAGGCCCTCGATGTTAAGGATTTGAAGAATCTTCCCGTTACATGTCAATGAAATAACCACTATTATAAGTTACGATTCCCTTCAAAGTGTCCGTTTTTCAGAGTTCATTTTGGAGTAGAATTCATCGCCTTCCTATTGACTGTTTTCAACAGCAGGGTTTATGGAGCTGTTCCCTGGTGATTTGAGAATGAGTATCTGATCCGTGTCCTTGACTCATCAATCATTGCCATCGATCACAACGCACAGTACTGTCTGGGTTCAATTTAGGGGAATAAGTCAGATTACTCCTCTTTAATCCGCAAATGATCTGCTTATATTTGAGTAAGATACATGAGTTGATTGGTTCTCAATTTGCCATTAAAATGGTAGAAAAGAGTACAAGTATGGAAAAAAACACTATTGGATACAAACGAACGAATTTTGTTTTTTTAGTAGACAAGTATTATTTGTCTGTCAACTAAAAATGATGAAATTCCTTTCACTTTCTTTAAACAGGAAAAAGTTGAAAATGTTTTTATCGTCATCTTCACAATTGAGTGCTTTCTCAAAATAATTGCTCTCGGCTTTGTGATGCATCCAGGGGCCTACCTTCGAAATGGCTGGAATATTCTAGATTTTACTATTGTTTGCCTCGGGTAATTCTCCACCTTTTTCTCATTTATATACTTTTTGTCATGAATCACTTTAATTGAATTTAGTATGCTTTTAGCTTCTGACTAATGAAAAAATGATGCGCAAAAGCTATTGGATTTTAAATCTCAGTTCTGAATTAAAAAACAGATATTGTTAGATAATTCAATTAATAAATTATAAATTATAATTTAAATTTATAGGAAATGATCAATTTCTTGAATATTTGATTGAGCTATCGTTTGAAAGTAAATAATTGTTAAATCTTCATTAATAAATGGGGAATTTTAATTATTATTTTAGAATTTTAAACAAAAAGCCTAAATCTCAGTTGTAAATTCTTTAATGTCAGCAATTTTTTAATACTTTATTGCATATTTGCAACCGCAAGACTGAGATGAAATAAATTATCACACATGTATGCTTGTTTTATGTATAATTTTTGGCAAAACGAATAGAATTACGTCCACTATTTTGTTTTTTTTTCTTGCGCAATACTAGATTGCTTCAACCATTACTGCAAAAAATGCTTGACCGTTCCGGAGTGGACGTAAAAGCCCTCCGAGCATTTCGAGTACTCCGGCCTTTACGACTTGTCTCCGGGTTGCCAAGTGAGTTCTGTGCCACTCCCATTCACTACTTATAGCAACTCTTCTTCCCCTCTGCTCCCCCACCCACTCCCCCCTCCCTTTAAATTGTGGCCTCTCATTTTCCCATACAGCAATAGCGTCTTCTAAGTGGGTTCTACTCGTGGAGCTGACACAAATTACTCTGAAAGAGCCCAAAGTCGGTAAGATATAAAAAAATGACGGACAAGGATCAATTGCCATAAGAAAAACAAGGAAGCGGCAATCTTGTTTTATGACCCCACTTTTAGACTCATCCGATGAACGTGCAGATGGGTAGATGTCGCTAACCACCCGACGGTTATAGTGATCAATCTTGTTTGCCATCTCCATTACTTCGCAGATATTAGCTACTTAACTATCTCTCTCTCATATTGTCCTTTTTTAATTAAGACTAGCTTGTATCAAGGGCTATAGTATTGAAATGGGAGAGATGCTGATCCTGAAATGTAAACATATCTTGAATAGAACTAAATGCTTTTCTATTTCGAAGACCTTGATGTGGGATTTTTCGTTCAGCCGCTGATTAGTTTGAAGTTCGCTATTTGGGAAGTCACATAGAAAGTCTAATTGTATTCATAGTCGTTTTCATCATTTCTTCTCAAACCAGCTCCAAATCATTTGGTTGCGAAGACATAACAAAATAGCATAAACCTTAATTGAACCTATGTGGAGTGGATTTTAAACCTAACCTATATAAGCTTGTGCATATATTCGATCACCTTATCTTATCCTCCCCTTCTTCTTGAACAAAAATCGATTTACAAGAATTTTGAGTCAATTACTAATGAAACTTGAGACCTTGTGAATATGGTGTCATAGAGCTCAAAGTGCGAGTTTACGATGCCAGTGATTATAGCATGTAATCAGTTCGGAGCAGAAAAAAGATGAAAGTTATCAAGTAATCTGAAGAGTCTCGACTTTATTTGGACTTTGTAGAATTTAATCGTGTTTGTTTTTTTTAAGTGTGACTTTCTTCTGCAAATTTAATAATCTTGTCACATTTGTCTACCATGACTAATATCTGGATGACATTGTATGATATGCTTTCGGGGCCATATTCCTTTCAAAAATTCTTCCGGATTTGAGAGCATATTAATTTGTATATCAACCTGTTAATTTTAGGAAACAATCTCTCAAAATCTTCTCATTTTGCTTCATTTGTGAAAAATCAATGACGCTGGTGATAATATGGCGGCTTCTTTCTGAATGAAGGAATGTAGTGAAACATTTAAGGTGTAAGATTCCTTCGAAGAACTTTTTCTCTCACAAAATGGAAAGACTTGAGGTTCCTTAAGATGTTTCTCCCTTTCCTAATTTACATTTCTTCCTCTGATAATTTAAAACCTAAAGGTGGTTGAATTGAGATGAGATGCAAATCTCAACAAACTTTGCGGAATTGCAAAGAAAATCAAACACCTCGAATGTCAATGAGCTAGACAAATAGATGTTCTAGACAATAACCTTTCATGACTTGAGTAAGGCAGTAGATACAATAGCGCAAAAGCATTAATTGAAGATTGCAAATTGAAATGTTATGTGTGCCAATTAAAAGTGAATAAACGGCTTCGCTAAGGTATGTGAGATTATGGGATAACTTGAGAATTTCTGTCATTCTTCCTCAGATGTATACTTTCGATGGTTAGGGCTCTTGTTCCATGCTTATCTATTATATGGCTTCAAATTTAATGTTAAAATACACGTAGCTTCAATCTTCTTTGCGAGTTTCAAATTTCTGATGAAAAAAATCAACAGATTTCCTTTTTAATTCAATAATTTCTCTTACAAATTGTGCAGTTTGCTCAACTCCGCTTAATTCAAGACTTCTTGGAAATTATGAATTGAACTTCAGCAAGTTTTTTCATTGCTTCTTGTACCACCTTCGATGAGCCTTTTGCTGTCAGATTCTTGTTCTCTCAAGAAAAACAGTTTCTTGAAAATACTGCCCCATCGACTCGATAGACCGTGCCTTAATTAATATCAGTCACGCGCATCCATCCACTCTTCTGTTATATCCCTCCCTTTTCTTCTACTTAAGGATGAGCGTGTATTCCAATTGCATATTTCTTTGGACTAAAGAGCAGTAATCGACTCTATTATACCACTTTAAATTTCAGTAGATGACTTCAATTTCGTGTAATTTTGATGCATTTTGCACCTTTGATGGGATTCTTCCTCACATATCGGATGGAGAGTTGGGTCTTTGGGTATTGGAGTGTTGTTTATTCTTTGCGGTTATCGGTATTTTTACTTTATTCAGGTTTACAAGTGGTGTTGAACGCGATAATTCGAGCAATGGTCCCCCTCTTGCACATAGCCCTTCTTGTCATCTTTGTAATTACAATGTACGCCATCGTCGGTTTGGAACTATTCTCAGGGAAATTGCACGCAACCTGTTATGATGTCTACACTGGTAAGTTGTTACTTGTATGGGATTTTGAACTGAATAATAGCACCCAATTTTCTTATTTTGAAGGCCAACACAATATTCCCTATTCTGACAAATTATATTGTTCGGTTCTTGACAATCGGACTGGCTTTGGAGTTAGTGCATTTATCCCAATATTTTTCTTCCTTAAGGGAAGAATTACGAAGATGGTTACATTTCCTCTGTTTACAAATTATAAGTGTCTTTTCTCAATATTGCAGATAGTATATCATTATCCGATTTGTCAAGCAAGTTTCTCCATTTTTTTGTGGAAACGTAATTGGATATTAGTAAATTCCAAAAAAAACCATTCGATTTGTATCCTATTTGGTTCACGACTATTTCTATAGGTTCAAATTCGAAGATTCAATTTTCCTGATTGATCTCTTGGTGGTCAAGATACGTATGAATGCCCAATTCATCAAATTCATTTTAATATCTTCATTTTTTGGATTTTTTGGTATTATTAAATGAAGTTTTTTTCAAATGGTAGGCTTTATGATATTTATCATTAGCCCTTAAACTTTGACTTCAGCTTCCCTCAAGGGTAATGATATTTATCATTAGCCCTTAAACTTTGATTTCAGCTTCCCCCAGGGGTCTGCCTCATCATTTATTTCAAATGGCAGGCTTTATGATATCTATCATATTAGCCCTTAATCAAGGGATCATTAGCCCTTAATCCTTGACTTCAGCTTCCCCCAAGATTAGCCCTTAAACTTTGACTTCAGCTTCCCTCAAGGGTGACGGGGGGTACATATATAGCAGCTAATTAATAGCAATTCATTAGCTGTCTTCTTGCTTCCCAGTATCTCTGGCTTTCCGTCCTTGTCTTTAGGGCTGGACACCGAATCAGGTGGGTCTTCTCCATTTCCTCCTGTAGGTCACATAGGGACATGTGGGCTGAGTGTATACTCCCAATCTGTGATGGTGTTTTGCCAGACAATCGTGTCCGGTACGTAGTCTAAACTCAGCAACGGCTTTAATTCTTGGCCAGTCGGCTATATTGGAGAATGTCACCGTTCACTGTTTCTCCCCCAGTCGGCTATGTCGGAGAGTGCCACTGTTTCTCCCTTGTTCGAGCTTTAAGTTCGTTGCACCTTGAGGTCTTGAATTCTCTCCTGATTAAGGACTTTCATTTTGACTTCTATTTATTAAATGAAGTACAAGGTCTGTTTGTGGAATGGTTTAAGTAAAAGTGGGCTTTAGATTGTGAGCATTCCTCACTTCGATCCACTTCAGGATCCGTATTAAAGATTTTACTATTTTTTAGTCCCAATATTTCAGAACAAGATTAGGTCTCTGATTTCCTGAGTGAATTCAGGTTTAATATAGCGGGTTATGAGCCTGATTACATTGATACAATTGCCATTTTTAATATTCTACAATGGAGGAAAATTTTGCTTGCTTCCTTTCAGCTAAATGTTTTCAGCTATGAAAGTTGGATTTAAAAAGTACGTGTGGATATATTTGATTTATTTCTAAAGTTTCAATAGAACTTTGCTCGCAATGCATATGCAGATTACATTTATCTGTGGTTATTTTCCAAACATGGATATCTGTTGAATTCACAATTTTGAAGCTCTTTATGGTCAAAATATGTTAACGAGTTGGTATAAAAACAATCCCTATTAATATATCAAAATTAATTAAAAATAATCGCATGTAAGTAAGCCTGAAAAATAGGAAGCCCTTCTTGAAATGCCTGTTATGCAGCAAATTATAACTTTTTCAAAACAGTAATTGTTTACTAAAATGTGACACTTCACACACAAAGATCGTAATCTAACGTCATTTTCTACTAATAATGTTCCAACCTTGGATCAAACTAGATCCCAATAGTCAATATTTTCAAGTCTTAAGATCAGAGGCACAGAATTATCCGATCCTAATTGAAACCTTTAATAAAAAAGTAATGTGATGAAGTAGGATTCTTTTATATCCAACCTCTATTTAAAGTTTATTATTTGTTTTCATCTCTGTCACCTATTATTATTAGGCTGAATTTAAATGTGATATTGTTTTTGCTTCGGCGTGAGAAACAATACTGTTTCTGTACTCGTATTGAACAATGTAAAGTTTCCATTTCTTGTCAAACAGTTTCTTTTGTCATAACAAACGCCAACCTTCCCATAATGGCACATTCTTTTCTGGTGAAAATTTGCCTATTGGTAAATTTTTGATCTTTACAATAGGCTTCA